TTTAAAAATAGATTTAACAATTTAAAAAAAAAATCAATAGAGGCAACACGAGATTGTTGGTCATTGGTTAGAAAATAGAAACAAACTGCGTAAGATGATGCATGGATTTAATTTTTTTTTTCTTGACATACAAAAATTAATAGACATGTACCAACTGTTTGTGAAATAATATTTCCACTCTTTTTTTAATTTTTGTTAGAAGTTATGGGTAACATTATTATAAAATAAGGCATCTGATTAAAATAACGAAAAAGATGAGACTTCAAATGTAGCTAAAATTAACAGTGAAGAACTAATGATGGAAAGACAGAAGAGGACATCAAACATTATTATATTAAATGTAAATGAATCCAAACAAAAAATACTTGCAAACAAAATAAGAGATGATAAAGACTTAGTAAAAGAACTGCTAAAAGATATTGATGTTGATATTACAGACTGGGCAAAGACCAAAACTAAAAGTTTGTTTTCCCAGTCCATAAGAAGCTCTTAAGGTGTTAAATATGACAACTATGTGCTAAGGCACGAGCCGCCACTGCTTTAGGGTATACCGTATATTTAGTGTTGCCAGATTTATGAAAATGTTAAGCATTTTAATACAATTTATTTGTGAAATGTCTAAGGTCTAAGGTTTTCAGCTTGTATTCGAAAACAATGATCCTTTAGTCGATACTTAAAAAAAAACAAAAGAAAAAAGCCTTGGAGCTGGCCCTGATATTGATTATCGAAACATCAATTTAGAGTTTCCAGAAGATGTATTAAATATAATTTTTCTTATGATACATTTAAATATAATACTATGTTTCAACTGCATACATTTTTAGTAGAATCAATATTTGAACGTGTGCCCGAATTCTTTGCCTTGACAGCGGTTTAAATGTTCGAAAATTTTCCATTCAAAGCTTAACAAAAGGAGTTATCAAATATTCAGGCTGTTAAAGTCATTCAAAACCTCAAAGAAACTCATTTCAATCAAACCAAATTGCCATCGACTATGCTATTTTAAATTATTTTCAGTTGGAGGAAACATAATAATTATAATAATAGCTTGTCATGTTATTTTGCCATTATTATGTTTTACCTATTTAAAAGAAATGGAGTAAAATGTCGTATATTAGTTATTTTATACCTAAATTTATTTATTAAATTTTTATAAATAAAATAATTATTGAACTATTTTTCTTATACAAAATAATAGACAGTAAAAAAATTCCAGCTTGGATAGTACATAGAAACAGAAATAACAAAGAACGAAAAAAAAAAACAACCAAGGAACAAAACAACGTACAAAAAGAAGCAAAATTAAACCACCCAAATGAAACTGATCAACAAAGTATTGCACAAAAAGAACAACCATCAATAATAGTAACTCAGGTCAAAAACTTTGAAGATTTAAGACAAAAACTTAATAAGTAAGCCACACAATTTGCTCTAATAAAATTGTTTGTTGCACTGTTTGGGTACTCTATTGAGCAAACAGAGTTCCAGGAGATTTATTGACATGATTTCACCCCCTTTTCATTCTTTGTGTCACTAATTTTTTTTTCCATAACTATCTGAAGTAAAGTTGCATCATAATCAGTAATTATGGTTTTTAGTATAATAGGAATTGTCATATCGACAGCATTAATGTTTTTATCTTTGAAAAAGATATGATCTAAGCATGTTTTTTGTCTGGTAGCTTAATTTATCATTTATTATTTATCGTACACTGTTCGTCTAACGTTTTTCCAAAACTAGTAAATTTATTATTAAATTCATTAGCTATTTCCTGGTTACCTGTTAATAAAAGTCTGTTATCGTTTGCAATATGTTTAATTTTAAATTTTTTTGGTTTTCCTCCGCACAATTTTTTCTCCTTGTCATACACATATTACAAAAATCGCATCGCAAGAGCTAAAAACTCCTCCAAAGAAACATGGTCTATAATAAATGACTTAAGGAATAAAACCCGTTCTTCAAACAGTGTAAATCCTAGCCCAGATGAACTAAACAATTATTTCGTAAATGTAAGTAAAAATATCAAATCTAACATAGCTCCGAGTCAGGATGCTCTCTCCTTCCTCCTACCTACTAAAAGGATCACTGAGAGTTTCTTCCTAAGACCAGTAGACAAGCATGAACTAGTGCAAACCATAAACAACATCCAAAATAAATTTTCCTGTGGAATTGATGGCCTGTCCACCAAAATATTTCTAAATATACCGGATGTAGTAATCAACATTTTAACTTCACTGATTAATGAATCCTTTGAAATTGGTCTCTTTCCTAACTGTCTAAAAACAGCTATAATAATCCCACTTCATAAAGGTGGCGACAAAACCAAAACCTGTAACTATAGACCTATCGCGTTATTGCCTACCTTATCGAGGATAGTGAGGATTCTACAAATCTAGCAATAAGCAGTGGAGTACCTCAAGGATTAGTATTAGGTCCAATTTTGTTTTTATTATTCATCAACGACATCACAGACTTAAGAATAAGTGGTAGAATTACTTTATTTGCTGATGACACCAGTGTAACCTGGAATAATTCTAACATGCAGACATTACAATCTATCATAAGTGAAGATCTAGTGACTATTAAGTCCTGGTGATTCGAATGGACTTTGTTTCAACACCAGTAAAACTGTAGCATTGTCTTACAGAGGTACTTTACAACCTATAACTTTAAACAATAATATGATCCAAACGGTGACTTCAATCAAGTTTTTAGGTCTTTATATAGACGATTCTCTAAAATGGTCTGCTCATATAGATACCTTAGCAAAAAAATTATCCTCCGCATGTTTTGCCATTAAATCGGTTTCTAAAGAGCTGACTCCTTCTACTGCATTAATAACCTACTTTTCCTTATTCGAATCTCACCTTCGCTATGGTTTACCTTTCTGGGGTTCTTGTAGCTTATACCTTTTCGAATCTATTTTTAAACTGCAAAAAAGAGCAATCCGCTATGTATTTGGTTTAAGTAGTAGGACACATTGCGAAAATTACTTCAAAAATTTCAAAATTATAACCCTTCCTGCTCTATTTATTTTCGAATCCGTCTGCTTAGTTCGCAAGCACATTCAAAATTTATCCGAAAGACCGACTCGTAGATATCCTACAAGAAATTTAGAGACTGATGTTTATTTAACAATGCCCACTTCTGACCTATTAAAACATTCCATTACCTACAATGCCAAAAAATTGTATAATAACCTTCCGATGCAATTAAAATCTATAAATACATACGATAAGTTCCGAAGACTGGCTAAAGCTTTTCTTCTAGAAAGACCATATTACACACTAGCAGAATTTTATAACGTACCTTAGACATTTGAGTTCCACATACAATGGCATTAATTAAATAATTAAATATTAAAGTTTAAATTTAAATTTAAATTTAAAAATTAAATTAGAATAATTATAATGACGGATATTGCATATCCATTGCAATTGTTATTCCTATTTTGTCTGTTTGTTTCTGTTTGTTTTTTCTGCTGTTTAGTTATTTTTATAATATGTTTAGTATTTAAGTTACACGCTTTGTCTATAAAATTTTTGTAAATTTTTTTACGACAATAAAGCATATCTCTCTCTCTCTCTCTCTCTACTGTTATTTTTGTTTGCCTCTAGTTGTGTATTTTTATTTGATTTATAAGAATATTTTTGTAATCATTATATTGATTTTTTAATATAACATTTTCAGGATATTTAATAAAATTTTTCATTTTAATTATTAAAATGTTTGTGAGCCATATAGTACAAAAGTTGTATTTCTAAGCCTACATAATTTTTTTTTCAGTACATGCATTAATTATATTGTTCAATTCTCTAATAAAATTGTTTGTTGCAGTGTTTGGGTACTCTACAAAGCAAACAGAGTTCCAGGAGATTTATTGACACGATTTCACCCCCTTTTCATTCTTTGTAACAATAATTTTTTTTCCATAACTATCTGAAGTAAAGTTGTGTCATGATCAGTTATTGTGGTTTTTATTGTAATAAGAATTGTCATATTTATCATTTGTAATTTATCGTACATTGTTATAAACTTATTATGCTTTCATAGCTCAAAATAAAATCGACTTAACATTATTAATACAATTTATTTATTTTTCTACAAGTAAATTATTAGAAACATTAATTAAAAATCTTCATTTGTTAGAATTGTACCTTATTTACATTTTGAAACTTCACTTTAGGTAAGTTCGTTTGAACTTTCAATAATAAAGGTTTATTATTACACTAACCTAAGAATCTATGGTTAACGGATTGCCCTACTTTTTTAGGATCACCCTATATAATATTTACGACACAAATAGAATAATAATAACGTTCTACATAGTTTAACTCAGAATATGCATATGCATTCCTTTTAATGAGATGGAATAAACCATTTCCAACCCCTTAATGAATATTATATTACATAACGATTTATCGTTTTTTAGTCCACCTCGTTATATCCTTTGTTTCTCCGTTTGTTTTGTAATCATTATAAATGGATTTGAACCAAAGAACGCGACGATAACGTACGTGATTTTGTATTTGATTCAACAAAATGCAATTTCCATTGAAAGGACAGTAGTGGCGTGACATGTTTAATCATTTTTTTTTTTTTCAGAAATTTGAAATGGATAGCATGCTAGAAAAATTCCTCCAATCATGAAAGTTGGTACCTATAGGTAATAAAAATTAAATAGAAAGTTTCCGTTGGTGATAAGGATCGAAAATGAGTTGTGGTCAACTAAACTTTTTCCCGTTATTTGTAGATTATAAAAAAAAGACTAATTTTAGTACAAAAACTCATACAAACATACAAGTTAACATGCAATTCCAAAAAAGTAATAAGAATAATATACTGTTTATTTCTATCCAAAAATTTATAACGAAAAAAGTTTAAAAATGCAGCATTTATAAATAAATATGTGAAGACCACATGGAGTATTTTTTAAATAATTTCTTAATACGTTTAAAAGTTCTTATAACTAATTTAAAATAAAATTAATGTTTACTTACTGTCAGTGTCAAACTTCCTTATGATTGTTTCGATAAGAGTAGTCCTAGGCGCTACCAAGCCTCTCCTCACTGGCATATCAACCAATTTTGTAAAAAGAATCCATCAGGAATAACAATCTTGTACACAATGCATTCTTGAAGGTTTTTTTAATACAGTAGAATTTTTTTTTAATTGTTTATTTTATCCTTTCGTTTTACATTTGTATTTTTTGTAGTGTATATTTTGATGACTATAATTATTAATTTATATATACAGGGTGTCCTTTAAAATGTGTCCCAAAATTCTCAGGCAGATTCCTTAACCAAAAAATGGAAAAAAAGTTCCTATAGACCTATGTCCTAAAGTGCCCCCTAAGCGAGCAACAGCCTCTCGAAATCATTTTTTTTATTTTGATTTTTTGAATTTTCTTAAAAATGGAAACAAATAAAAGAACCAAATTTTGGCTGTTAAATATGATCAATAATAGTGACCTTTTGACACCTTCAAAAAGAAATTATTTCGTCAGGGGTGTACTTGGGAATTTTTTGAAAATTTTGATTATTCATAACTTTTTTGTGTTTTTGGTAATGACTTATCCATATTTTTTTTTACATTCTACATTGAAAACTACGTCAAAAAGGAATACTTGTTTGATCTCGATTGGAGCAGCCGTTTCCGAGAAAACATCATCCAAAGATATTCGTGCAGTTTAGGTTAATTTTCAATTTTGGCTGTTGTAGCCAAAAAGTTGGAAATCGAGGAACACGGCTTACATGTCCCTATCCTTACTTTTGAAGGTCTATTCAGTGGCAAAAAATATTAGTTGATACAGGGTGATCAAAAATCGGATGTGATTTTGGATTTTTGATCACCCTGTATCAAATAATATGTATTTTATGTCACTGAATAGACCTTAAAAAGTTAGGATAGGGACTGTAAGCCGTTTTCCTCGATTTCCAACTGTTTGGCTACAACAGCCACCTGAATTTGAAAAAATGTGATTTTTGAGTAGCTGTAGATCCTTTACTATTCATATTAGATAACAAGTGTGATATATCATTGAAATCAGATTATCGAGCAGATTCTAAATATATAAAAATATACAGGGTGTTCCATTTAAAAAAAATAACTTTGATTTGGCACGGCCTTATGAAACACCCTGTCACATCGTAACTAATTTTAAAATATGAAGCTTAAAGCTGCCTACTTTTATTATAACAGATCTACAGAGCTTCCTCACACTAATCAATCACCCTGTATACTATTTTTAGCTCTCTAAATAAAATTTAAAAATTTAGTTCCCATTTATTTATTATGAAGACCATAAGGTTTGTATTTAGCTGTTTAGAATAAAAAAGTAAAAATATGTATTTTTTTGGCGTTTTTGTGTTTCATGGATAATTTTTTTCGTTCACTGATAAAAATGTTTCTTCAGTTAAACATTATTTCTAAAAGTGTTCTGGTGCGATTCGTTGTATTGTTATTATTTTGTTTAAAATGGCTCACAATAACCACAATAATGATTACACATTCGGCGAAATGACGGACATGCACTTATGTTTTGGACTCGCTTCTGGAAATGCCAATGAAGTTCGCAGACTTTATCAGGAGCGCTTTCCAAATAGGCATCTTCCATGCGCTAAGACGTTTTCTAGAATTGACGATAGACTTCGGGAAACTGGTACATTTAAGAAAAACTCTAGTAACAGTGGAAGACAAAATTATGTGAGAACTCCTGCTTTGGAAGAAGCAATTTTGGATAGGGTAGCTGAAACCCCATCGACAAGTACCAGAAAAATAGCAAATGGTAAGTAATTACTTATTTATTATTTTAGCTACCCCGTACCTTATCGTATAAAACTAGTTTTTTTACTTGTTATTGCTTCTCTTACATTTCACGACTTTTCGTATCGAAAAGAGTTGCGTTATGCAGAAAAAATCTGATTTCCCAAATCAATGGATTCTCTTTCTTAACTATTCACTACACAGATTCTCTCATTTAATTTCAGAAGTGGGAGTCGGACGTAACACGGTATGGAAAGTTTTGCGTGAACAACAATTGTACCCTTACCACATTCAAAAAGTTCAGGCACTTAAAGCTACTGATTATGAGCCGCGAGTTATCTTTTCTGAATGGTTTCTTGGAAGATGTAATCAAGATGCAATGTTTCATAATAAAGTGCTATTTACCGATGAAGCTGGTTTCACTAGAGATGGTATAATAAATTTTCGAAATATGCATGAATGGGCTGAAGATAACCCTCACGCGGTTGTTGAACGTCACCACCAGGATAAATTTTCAATAAACGTCTGGGCTGGAGTTATTGATAATTACCTTATTGGACCATTTGTTTTGCCGAATAGGTTAAATGGAGCAGCATACAGGCTTTTTTTGGAAAATAACTTACATGAGCTTCTTGATAATATTCCGATTCAAATCAGACATAACATGTGGTTTATGCATGATGGAGTTCCACCACATTACAGCCTTGAAGCTAGACAGCACCTTAACGAAAGATTTGAGGGTAGAGTAATTGGCAGAGGTTGTCCTGTTAACTGGCCACCTCGTTCACCAGATCTAAATCCAATGGATTTTTTTGTTTGGGGTTATTTAAAATCATTGGTTTATTCCAGTCCTGTTGAAACAGTTGAAGAATTGGAAGAACGAGTTTTTCATCATTGCGAAGTTCTTAGGAATAATCCTGAAGTATTTTTTCGTGTAAGACAGTCTATGATGCGACGGTTGCGCTTGTGTGTGGAAACCAATGGTCGCCACATTGAGCATCTGCTTTAATTTTTTTTGATTTGTTTTTTTAGAATAAATATTTTTTTAAACCGTTTCTTATTATTAAATAAAAATAGTCCCACCACGACATTTGAACTACAATTATTTAGAGAGAGCTAAAAAAGTTATTTTTATTTACGAGATTCACCGAGGTAATTTAGGAAAATTGAAAATTAAGCTAAAGTGGACGAATATCTTTGGATGATGTTTTCTCGGAAACGGCTGCTCCAATCGAGATCAAACAAGTATTCCTTTTTGACGTAGTTTTCAATGTAGAATGTAAAAAAAAATATGGATAAGTCATTACGAAAAACACAAAAAAGTTATGAATAATCAAAATTTTCAAAAAATTCCCAAGTACACCCCTGACGAAATAATTTCTTTTTGAAGGTGTCAAAAGGTCACTATTATTGATCATATTTAACAGCCAAAATTTGGTTCTTTTATTTGTTTCCATTTTTAAGAAAATTCAAAAAATCAAAATAAAAAAAATGATTTCGAGAGGCTGTTGCTCGCTTAGGGGGCACTTTAGGACATAGGTCTATAGGAACTTTTTTTCCATTTTTTGGTTAAGGAATCTGCCTGAGAATTTTGGGACACATTTTAAAGGACACCCTGTATATATATATATATATATATATATATATATATATATATATATATATATATATATATATATATATATAATGAATTCCGAGTTACAAACTATATATCAGTTAGTATAAAAGATAGAGAGAGAACGCTTAGAGTTTCCTGAAAGTTATAAATAAAAATAAATTAAAATAGTAACTAATTAACCCTTTCAGTGTATGTGTCCTTCCAGAGGAGTAAGTAACCCTGAAATGCATCTGTTAATTTTGGTAAAAAAAAAATATGTTTTTTATAGTTTATTTACTTTATTTATTGACAGGATAATCGCTAAAAGGGACATGGAATTAAAACTCTTTGATTACCTCAATTGGGATCGTTATAAAAATTATTTTATATATATTTTAAGACTAAAAAATCGTTGAAATACTGAAAAAAGCCCATAAAAATAAATATACCGATTTTTTACTTTTTGTTTTGTTTACAATTTTGTTAATTTGCAGATATAGTAAGGCAACAAAATAGACTTTAAAAAAACGCGAGAATCCTGTTGTATCTTTAGAAGATGCTAGAGAAAACTCTCAGCCATCCTGGGCTCACATTTGCATTTAATAGTAATAAAGTGATACGTTGTCAAAACGTATCAATACGGTAAATGGTACACATTTGACAAAAACAACAAAAGTACATGATTCCCTTAACAAAAATAGTTCTAGTGACTTTTTTAGTCTAAGTTTGTAGTCTTTAGAACTTTTTTTTGGTATACCTTTGGCAAAAACAACAAAAGTACGCGATTCCCTTAACAAAAATAGTTCTAGTGACTTTTTTAGTCTAAGTTTGTGGTCTTTAGAACTTTTTTTGGTATACCTTTGTCAAAAACAACAAAAGTACGTGTTTCCCTTAACAAAAATAGTACTAGTGACTTTTTTAGTCTAAGTTTGTGGTCTTTAGAACTTTTTTTGGTATACTTTTGTCAAAAACAACAAAAGTACGTGTTTCCCTTAACAAAAATAGTACTAGTGACTTTTTTAGTCTAAGTTTGTAGTCTTTAGAACTTTTTTTGTATACCTTTGGCAAAAACAACAAAAGTACGTGATTCCCTTAACAAAAATAGTTTTAGTGACTTTTTTAGTCTAAGTTTGCGGTCTTTAGAACTTTTTTTGGTATACCCTTGGCAAAAACAACAAAAGTACGTGATTCCCTTAACAAAAATAGTTCTAGTGACTTTTTAGTCTAAGTTTGTGGTCTTTAGAACTTTTTTTTAGTATACCGTTGGCAAAAACAACAAAAGTACGTGATTCCCTTAACAAAAATATTTCTAGTGACTTTTTTAGTACAAGTTTGTGGTCTTTGGAACTTTTTTTGGTATACCTTTGGCAAAAACAACAAAAGTACGTGATTCCCTTAACAAAAATAGTTCTAGTGACTTTTTAGTCTAAGTTTGTGGTCTTTAGAACTTTTTTTTAGTATACCGTTGGCAAAAACAACAAAAGTACGTGATTCCCTTAACAAAAATATTTCTAGTGACTTTTTTAGTACAAGTTTGTGGTCTTTGGAACTTTTTTTGGTATACCTTTGGCAAAAACAACAAAAGTACGTGATTCCCTTAACAAAAATAGTTCTAGTGACTTTTTAGTCTAAGTTTGTGGTCTTTAGAACTTTTTTTTAGTATACCTTTGGCAAAAACAACAATAGTACGTGATTCCCTTAACAAAAATATTTC